TGGCCACTGCGGCCATTCTCAGGGTGTCTGTGACATTCCAACGCTTCTGAAAATAGTGACAAGCAGACAGCACTCTGGCCAGCCATCCACACAGCAACCGGCTCAGCCCAGACCTGCTACTGCTGGAACATGGGACCTCCAAGGGCATGTTCCATACACTGCTTTTTCTATCTGTGCTTCCACACGCAGGTAAACAGAGGCATGTGGAGTAAGGGAACTTGCCTAAGGTTTCACCCCGCCCAGGTCCTCTCACACACAAGGCGAGTGTGCTAACCACTACGTTACTGGCTGTTTACCATGCAGTGTCCCACAAACACTCATGGATTATTTGAAAGATTATTACCCCTCGGAAAGCTTTCTGCCAATCAACTAACAACCAGGTTCCTACTTACTGATACAACAGTCAAGATGCACTCAGCAAGGGAGAAGACCTGAGTTGATTCCCGGCAGGGCGAAATGTTGGGCAAGTTTCCTTACTCCACACGCCTTTGTTTACTTAGGAGTCAGTAGGAACCCAATTGTTAGTTGATCAGAAAATTGCTTTTCCGGGGATGATAATCCCTTAAAAAAAATGTTCTTTGTAGGACACTGATGTACGCAATCGGCTGCGGTATTTTGCCCACAAATACAGTCAATTCACTTTACAGTATATTATGTGAAGCGCTTTGAGACATTTTGAAGACATAATAAGGCGCTATATCAAATGCAAGGATTATTATTAAGACCCCTGCCAAAAACTTAGATTGTGAGGACTTTAGAAAAATGTCTTCATTTGGGAACTGCTTATCAAATAAGATGTCAAACTGACATCCTTTCGGCCTGTTCAGGTGGATGTCAAAGATCCTGAGACACTATTGGAAATAGAAGGAAATTTCCCCCGGTGTCCTAGCTGGCAATCCTCCAGATTAAATCACTCATGGGGTGTGTGTGCATCTGTGTAAGACCTTGTTGTGTGCAAAATACCCACTGAATGGCAGCCTACAAAAATAGTCACTACACTTGACCATGATTACAGCAAAGCAATACATTTCCACGTGGCAGATGCTCTAAATGAAAGACCTTGCTTCACCATCCCTTTGCTCTTCTCTCTGATAAAGGACAAAACAGAGGGAGGGAGGGAATGAAATATGAAAGTTCGGTCAAAGATGAGTCAAGGCGGACACAGATAGGGAGTGAAGGGGTTAACTGGAGACACCTTGAATAAGCCCTGTAGAAATGGGAGTGGGGTGGGGTGGAGGAGAAGAGGAGGCAGTATGTAAAGCAGACAAATAGTCACTGATCCTGGGAGTTAACAACAGAGAGAATGACAGACAGGCGGAAATACAAGAATATTTGCCACTTTCTGGAAAAACAACTGCAAAATGACTGCGTTTAGTTTTTAGTCTACGCAAAGTTCATAGGCTGCTGTAACAGTGCACCTCGGGGCTGTGCTATCGTTAGCACAACACAAACCCCAGCTTTACTCTGAGCTCACTGGCATTTACACCAGCACTCCACCCGCCAAACTCTTAAGAAGTAAATGACCCCTCTATTGTATTGAAGGACACACATTTTACAAACTACTCCAGCCCCACCCCAGGCAGAACATAGCCGGCAAGGCTTACGCCACTGCCGGCAGCCGGGCCAAAATGGGAGGGCAGAGAAAGGCAAATACAGCAGCACAGATCAGCAGTCTTGCTTCTCCTCCAGCATATATTACAATGTTTTCCCCCTTAATAATAATAATCCTTGCATTTGATTTGAGGCAAATCACGTCGTTGAGATGTCTCAAAGCGCTTTACAGAATACACTGTACGGTGGATTGACTGTGTGTTCTGTGGATGAGACAAGCCTGGAGACTGAGTGCGATACACAGACATTGATTAGGCACACGAGCTGTGTCAGGGGAGAGGGAAACTGGATGGGTGATCTGCTGACTGCCTGCACCGAGCTCATTCAGGCCAACATTTAAACCTGTGACCTCGTGGGAGCTCCACAAGAGCTTTGTGCTGACGGACTGGACTGGCTGCCATTTCACCTCAATCTCAAAATAGGTTTCATTCATACTTCTAGTCCGTGAGTACAAGGAAAAGCATCTACAAGCATTCATGATTGATCCAGTGCTGCACTAACCTAGAAAGCAGTCCTCGGGAGGGTTAACACTATAGTCTGTGATGAAGAGTTAATACACCAGTAATGACAGAACGGCAGGCAACGGTTCTGGAGTGGCCATTCACCACGGGCTCTGGAGTGGGTGAGCAGCGTAGCTGACAAGCTCTGGGGCGACCGGTGATTAATTGCAGTGAATTCGAGAAGTGTAAACACACAAACATTCAATGATAACAATAATCCTTGCATTTGATACAGCACCTTTATCCCATCGACGTGACGTCTCAAAGCGCTTTACGGAACATATTGTAAAGTGGATTGACTTGTGTATTTGTGGGCGAAACGTGGCAGCCAATTGAGCACAGCAGCGTCCCACAATCAGTCGTAGATTCGAATCATACAACACAGAAGCCGTTCGGCCCATCGTGTCCGTGCCGGCTCAATGAAAGAGCTGTCTAAATTAATCCCACTCCCCCACGCTCTCTCCACGGCCTTGCAAATTTGTCCTCCCCAAATATCTATCCACTTCTCTCTTGAAAGTAATTATCGATTCTGCTTGCACCACCCTTTCAGGCAGTTCATTCCGGACCCAAACAACTCGTGATTGAGTGACTACATTTTTTTGAGGGATTATTATTGCATATTGTTTATATATTGTTGTATACATTGTAAAATTGATTGACTGTGTAATTTATGGGGGGAAATGGTGCATCTGGACTTGCCATGTGTGAAGCTATTGGTAAGGAATGCTCCAGCAGTCCTCAGGAGGGTTAACATATAGCCTGTGATGAAGAGTTAATACACCAGTAATGACAGTGCACTGAAAGATTCAGACCATCTGATGCAGTGCTGCTATGGCTGTGCAGGTAGACAGACAGCAGGGATCAAAATGGAGACCATCACCTGCAACACATGCACACAATTTACATGTAAACCCAGTTACACAAGATAAATGTGGTGCTGATAACAACCAGCCTTCACCCAACACTGATGAAACTGGCATTTCATTTGAGAGAGAATAGTGCAAAGGGGTGCACGACAAACTGAACTCATAATCCACAAGGTGTCAGACACGGATACTGTTACTGTTATCGTCTGGAGAAATATTCCACAAAAGTGGGCACAGGTTAAAAGCATTCATCGGCCTTTTATCAGTGGATTATTTAAGAGGAAGGTTTGGTAACATGACACGTTCAGTCAGTGGGTCACAACTACCTTTCCGGATGTTTGCATTAGGCAATCCGCATTAAACAAACGCCAGCCATCTTGCTCCTCACCCTGGCCTCAGTTTAGGGCAACAGATTGCAGCGACTTCTAAAAAGGGAACACTCCCTCAGGCGCTACACCAGGCTCAGCCCCATCCCATATACTGACATGTTATTTTACGTCTGTTTTACTGACTAAAAACTGCAGGACCTTAAGCTTAGAACAATGCTTTTTCTGACCAGACTCCCACACGCAAGATCATCCCTAGAGGAAATAACCAGATTCAATCATCTCTCGACAGCACACAGAGAGCCACTAGTCGGTGCGACATATTTGAGACGTGAACTTTTGTAATTATTTTTATAAACCACTTCTCACACACACACAAACACTATATACACAGCACAGGAACACAATACATCATGTTACAACAGAGGATCTTAACAGTGCTCTGTAAAGAGTTGCAATTCCATTGATGACAATATTTTATATCAAATATATTAAACATTTTGGAAAAAAATACATGGAGTGAGTACCTGTAAGGAAACTGAGTGCCAGCCCGGCTAGCTGCTGTCTGATGTCGATAATGGGATACAATGGGTCTATGTAATGTGGGATTTACCTTTAGGAAGGTTTGGGTTTCTGCACCGACAGAAGGGAATTTACTGCAGTTTGACAGGTTGAGTACTGCAAAGGGGACAGTTCATCCCAAGGAGAGAGGGCTGCAGGGGATTTTACAGGGTAGTTTTTTTGTGGGAGGAAGGCAAGAGATAGGGGCAGGTATCAAGGTGGGCAGCAGGAGAGAGGATGGGGATCGGGAGGATGAAATGGGGAGGGGGCAACGGAACGGGCGACAGAATGGGAGGGCGTGACCAAACGGGGGTGGGGGCGCGGAACGTGGCGGAGCGATGGAACGGGTAAGTGTATGGGGGAAGTGTGGGGCGAGGGGGGGATGTGTGCGCTCGGTGGGGCAGTGTGGGCTAAGGGGGCAGGGTGTGGACCGAGGGAGGGGGAAGTTTGGGCTGGGGGGGTGGGAGGGAATGTGGGCTGAGTGTGGGCTGAGTTGGGGGGGGGGTGTGGGGAGTGTGGCTTAGTTGTGGGGGGGGGGTGTGGGCTGAACGGGGAGGGAATGTGGGCTGAGAGGGGCGGGAGGGGGGAGTTGGGTGAGGGGTTGTGCGTGGGGCGAGGGAGTGATGTGTGGGGCGGGGGGGTTAGTGGGGGGCAGTGGGGATTAGTGGGGCAGGGTGGGTGGGGCAAAGGGAGAGAGTGGGGGGCAGTGGGGGAGAGAGTGGGGGGCATTGGGGGAGTGGGTGGCAGTGGGGGACAGGGGTGATGGTGGGGGGGTGTTGGGGTGATGGTGGGGGGGGTGTTGGGGGTGATGGTGTGGGGGTGTTGGGGGTGATGGTGCGGGGGTGGGGGGTGATGGGGCGGTGTTGGGTGTGGGGGTTGATGGGGTGGGGGGTGATGGGGTGTGGGGTGATGGGGCGGTGATGGGGAGGGGTGATGGTGGGGGGTGGGGGTGATGGTGGGGGGAGGGGGTGATGGTGGGGGGGAGGGGGTGATGGTGGGGGGGAGGGGGTGATGGTGGGGGGGAGGGGGTGATGGTGGGGGGGAGGGGGTGATGGTGGGGGGGAGGGGGTGATGGTGGGGGGGAGGGGGTGATGGTGGGGGGAGGGGGTGATGGGGGTGTTGGGGGTCGCCAGTACCTGATAGACTGACGCCTTCGGCAGGTCCAGGCAGACGGTGCAGCACAGCACCGAGTACAGCCTCTCCTCCAGCTTGTTCTCGCTGCCGGCCTTGGCCGCCGCCCCCTCGGGCGCCTCGAGTCGGGCCCGTTTCTTGGAGCTCGGCCCCTCCTCCAGCTCCGGGTGGTGACTGTCCTGAGGCGCCGGGTGGTGGTGCAGGGAGTCAGCGGGGCCCGGGCCGGAGGCCGCTGCTGACGAGGCCGGCGGCTCCCTCTCCTCGGCCGCCGACATGGTGTTGTTTCACGGTGGGTGAGGCGGGTGTTAGCGGTGAAGGCTTCTCCCTACGGGAGTCCGCGGCCTGAGGCCTCACAGCGGCTCCGCGTCGGAGCCTCACAGCAACCGCCAGACCGCGGCCGCCATCTTGCCTCCTCTGTGACGCAGCCGCCGCCACCAGCACCGCCCCCCGCCCTGCACCAATCAGCAGCCTCCCCTCACTCCGCCCTGCACCAATCAGCGGCCTCCCCCACCTGCCCTGCACCAATCAGCAGCCTCCCCTCCCTCCGCCCTGCACCAATCAGCGGCCTCCCCTCCCTCCGCCCTGCACCAATCAGCGGCCTCCCCTCACTCCGCCCTGCACCAATCAGCAGCCACTACCACTCAACACCAATCAGCGGCCTCCCCTCACTCCGCCCTGCACCAATCAGCAGCCTCCCCTCCCTCCGCTCTGCACCAATCAACAGCCTCCCCTCCCGCCCAACACCAATCAGCAGCCTCCCCTCCCGCTCTGCACCAATCAGCAGCCGCCCCTGCAGTCCAGTCCGCTCCAGTCACTGCGCCCCCTGTGGCGGCTTAGGGGTGGCCTTCGCTTTGCTGTTCTCAGTACATAAACAGATGATCATTTTCCAGTCCTTCGCACCTGTGCAGTGCAGTAATCCGCCGCCATCAGCGGGTTTACTGCTGCCCAACTGCTCAGCATTAATCAGCGCTCTCCCCCCCTCACCCCCATTACAAACACATTCCCCTTTTCTCTTCCCCCCATATCCCAACCTCAACCCTTCTCTTTGGTTTGAAATCTAACTTTCAAGTTCCACCCCAGATGGACATCACCATTCCCGGATGGACATCACCATTCCCGGATGGACATCACCATTCCCGGATGGACATCACCATTCCCGGATGGACATCACCATTCCCGGATGGACATCACCATTCCCGGATGGACATCACCATTCCCGGATGGACATCACCATTCCCGGATGGACATCACCATTCCCGGATGGACATCACCATTCCCGGATGGACACCTAAACTTCTGGTCCATTAGACTGTGAATTCTAATAAGTCTGATGTACAATTTTGTCAGTAAATTTTATTCTTACAGATGACACCTGAACACCCCCTCTTCAACCATGGCTGCAGTCACCGCGACTCAGCATCAGGCATTAAGCTCTCCTCGACACTGCCCTACGTGAAGATAGCTATAATAAATGCAAGTTGTTGGTCCAAAGTGCTATGTGATACGTGTGAACTCCAGTCGACTGGTTCTGTTGGGCACTAAACTCAATTTGCCATTAGAATCCTGGTTTTACTCTGTGATCCATTTCACCCACATGGCCGTTATTGCTCATGCAGACAAAAAGGAGAAAAATATGGTGAAACCTTGTAGATTCCATACAATGAGAAATTTAACATATAATATATACATATACACACACACACACAGAGCACAGCATAATAATAATAATAATAATCCTTGCATTTGATATAGCGCTTTTCACGTCGGGAGGACGTCCCAAAGCGCTTCACAGAACACACTGTAAAGTGAATTGACTGTATATTTGTGGGCGAACGCGGCAGCCAATTGCGCACAGCAATGTCCCACAAACAGTCGTAGATTGAAAATGACCAATTTATTATTGTGTTTGGTTTTGGAGGGAATATTATTAGGCTCTGTGTGGAGTAAGGAAACTTGCCCAAGGTTTGGCCCTCTGCCTGGAATTGAACCCAGGTGTCTCGCTCGCAAAGCGAGTGCTCTAACCACTGAGCTACAGGACTCCACATAAGACCCATAACACCAACTATCTCTTTGGTGTTTAGTTTCACTACGTGGAGGCTGAATGAACAGCAATTTGAGAATGACATTACATTTACACATCACTCGTCATGTTGGGGAGATGTCCGAGGCACTGGACAGTCAAAGATTTGAACCTGAGCTGGGGTTGGGATTAGGAGGGGTGGAGGGCAGCGGTAGGAGGGCGACCAAAGACGCAGTCAAAGAGGAGGGTTGACGGAGGCAAGGAATGGGACGAGGTGGATGGACTGCGGGATGGAGTTCCAAAGGGTGGGGGCAGAGAGGCTGAAAGTCTGACCATCGATAGTGGGGCAGACCGGGGACGTAGACCACCCTCATTCCTCTGTGTATAACAGAACATATCAATGTAAATCTGTATCATTGACCTCACTGTGGGTCACAAAACACAAGTCACAATGCATTAAGAATCCACACGATCATTATTAGCATTTTTATTAAAGCAAGCATTCTATAATCCAAACGTTCAGTTTCTGATGCTCAACCATCAAACACACTGCCAACTAAATGCAGTGTGGATCTGCTGAGCATTCCCCCGGTAATGGATTACAAAACTTTTAAAGAAAGGAATGCATCAAATAACATTTCTGTGTGCATAAAACACCTACCCCGGCCTAGAAAACTTTTCATTTTACAATTTTTTTGGTATTTTCCCATTACGTCTAGGACTAGCATCACTTTATGCCAGACCTGGCAGTGACTTGGTTCCGTAAACTTTCTTACGGGTTTTCCTTTCTTTTTTTGTACGGTTTTTTCATTTTGCGATGTTTTAATCATTTTTTAAGCTTTTTCCAATGTTTAGATTTTTTTTCTTCAATAATGCAAGCTTCACGGTCTTCCTTTCCTGCAGGGGGCAAAGAGATGCATTAAGAAATCGTTATCAAAATGGATGGATTCAGTTAAATTCCATCTGAAGAAATTTAAGACAATCATTTGAGAATTATAAAGTGCGCAATTGGCTGCTACGTTTCACCCTCAACAGTCAATCACTTCAGTATATCATGGGTTTTAAAACATGCATTTACATTGCGCCCTTCACGTGGTGTGGTGTCCCAGAGCGCTTGACAGTGGTGGAGTCTGACCCTGAGCCAGGAGAGGGGGGGTGATTGTAAACACGATCAAAAAGGTCTTTTGGCGAGATTTGAAAGTGGGGAGAGAGGGGGCAAGGCAGAGGGATTGAGGGAGAGAGCTCCAGAACTTCAGGGCGTAGTGACAGCCGTCGATGGTAGAGCGGAAGGGGTGAGGAATGAACAGGAGGCCAGAGCCAGCCAAGCAAAGGCAGCAGGTGGTGGAGTGGGGGTGGGTGGGCACGTTGGAAAGGTAGGGAGGTGTGTATGGTGGAGCTGGGGAAACCAGCGAGGAGGGCATTGGACTAGTCCAGCTGGGAAGTGACGAAAGTGGGACGAGCGTTTTAGCTGCTGTGGGTGTGAGGCACCAAGGGAGGCGGGCAAAGTGGTGGAGGTGGAAAAATGCAGTCCTGGTCAGGGAATGGATGTGAGGGTGGCGGGGGAGGGACATCTCAACGACATAAGGCGCTAAATCAAATACAGGGATTATTATTTTTATAAGATTAAATAGAGAGAATAAGGGCAGTAAACCAATGAAGCATTCTTATAATGGAAGAGTGCACCAGGACTGGTCAAACAAACTCTTTGACTGCAACTCCATCCCAGAATCAATCCAACTTCCTCCCTCCCTCACCATTTTCAAGGTCCGTCTCAAGACCAACCTAATTGTTTTTGGTCATCTTATTATGTTTTCCACGTTAAGCGCCTTGGGATGTCCTCCCAACATGAAAGGCACTATATACGTATAAATTTGTATTGTAAAGTAAGTGGACACAGATTCATTGCATGGTTTTCAATTAAGTTGCTGAGGTGTTACTTCACACAACTGGACACAATACAGAAAGACAGGCTGAATTTTCCACGTGAGTGCTTTTACATCAGTTCTCAGCTATTTAATAATAATAATCCTTGCATTTGATATAGCGCTTTTCACGTCGGGAGGACGTCCCAAAGCGCTTCGCAGAACACTGTAAAGTGGATCGACTATACTTTGTGGGCAAAACGTGACAACCAATTGTGCACAGCAGTGTCCCACAGTCACAGATTGAGTGTTTTTTTTTGATTGTTTATTACCCCGAGAAAGCGATCCACCATTCGACTGCTGGTAAGCAGAGGCATGGAGAATAAGTCATCTTGCCTAAGGTTTTACCCTGCCCAGGAATTAAACTAGTTCTGTCACTTGCGAGGCAAGTGCTCTAACCACTACACTATGGGACTCCATGTTCAATGGGATAGAAAATGTAAACCCAGAGCAATTGGGATACACCAGGCCAGCCATCTGCTCTCAGGATTGTGAAGGACAATTTCAGCGCAGTAAGCAGGAATTATTTCTTTACACAGAGGGTGGTCAACAACAGGAAAGGGTTACAAGGAAAGATGGCAGATACCAAGACGTTAGATGTATTAAAGGAATGGTTTGTGCTGTAATGAGAAGACAGTACAGTTGGCATTGTGGAAAATTATAAAAAGAAATGCCTTGAAGTGCAGTGAACCAGATACTCGAAACGTAGTGACAAAACAGCTACACTGCACACAGCTACACAGAAGAGAAAAAACAATAATTATTGCATTTGATATAGCACCTTATCATGTATTCAAAACATCTCAAAGCGCTTCACAGAATATACTGTAAAGTGAATTAACTATTTTGTGGACGAAATGCAGCAGCCAATTGCGCACAGCATTGCCCAACAAACCGTCGTGGATTGAGTGGGCAAATTTTTTGATTTTTTGGGAGGGATTATTACCCCCGAAAAGCGATCCGTTAATCGGCTAATAACCGGATTCCTACTTACTGCTGGTAAACAGAGGTGTGTGGAGAAAGAAAACTTGCCCAATGTTTCGCCCTGCCAGGGAATTGAACCACTGAGCTACAGGACTCCACACAAAAAAAAATCCACTGCACACTGCTACACGGAAGAGAAAATGTGTGCATCAAACACAGCACAGCACTCTGGACAGTTAATTTAGGAATGGCCCACCTTATTTGTATGGTACTCACCTCCTGAAAATTAAACACCCGCAGCATTTGGCACAACTACTTTCTGAGCAGCCTCTTTAGCCTGGTGGGCCTGCAGCACTGCTACAGCCTCATCAACCTAATTTAAAAGATGGGGACAAAATGTACAAAGTGACTGACAGGCTTAATTGCTTCCCCGAATTTTATGGCAAGTTATAAATATTTATTTTGGGGTAAACCATAGAAATGCACGTTGCTCATGCTGGCAATGGCAATCTAAGCAACTTGGACATTCCTTAACCAATTGTAACAAAATATCTTCTTAATTGCAAGTAGAAATTATTATTTTAGAAATTGTATTCCAAACAGGCAGAAACATAATGTAAAAATTGGTTTGCATAAATTGTACAAGAAAACTCACAGAAGTCATATCAGTTGAGACTACGACATTTAATATGACTTACACGAAGTCCGAGTTACAGTGAAACTGTATCAATCGTAGAAAATCCAATTTAATCAATAATCTACACAGCACATATTTAAGTCACTGCAGCTGATAAGTGCACATGTGGTGAAGCGTTAAGACTACATTTCCCACAATGTGGTGCCTTGGCCAGTCACCACAGGCACTTACTTACCCTTAAGTGTTGGAATCCAATTGAATTGCAGGAAACCAAGCTCTTCTGCTCATTTGTGTTTTAGTCAAGACTACATTTCCCTTGATTCAGTGCAGCTGATAAGTAGGGAGTAATGGGGGGTAGGGGGCAGTCTTACAAGTTAGGTGATTAATATGAGTTATGTAAAGGAATCTAAGTGGTTTTGATAGGAAACAGAATGGGACTCGGGTAAATGTACGACAGGCGATTATACGATTGATAAGACTTGTGTGAGTTTGATTGTAAAGCACAGGACATTCGCTCAACTAGTCTGTGCTGGGGTTTATACTCCACAAGAAGGAGTCTCCAGAAACTCCCAACACCCTCCCATACCCTTCTATTCCAGTCTCCCTTATGTGTATATCGATCTTCCTCTTTGGTTCAAGCTTCTCAGAATGTTAAAGAAAAAGCAATAACCTACCTTGGAGCGCAGAGACTCAGGGGACTCCAGCATGTGAAGCAGCTCAGAGTTGTCGATCTCAAGAAGCATGCCTGTGATTTTCCCGGCCAGACTTGGATGCATGTTCTGGATCAGGGGGAAGAGGCGTTCACCTGCAAACACACATTGACTGATTAACTGGGTTGTTACCGTGCTGATTGCGTTGTACAGTTTGTAGTGAAAGGAACACTCTCTCTGTCCTTCTGCATCTTAGCAAACTTTTTTTTAAAAATAAGAAAGACAACATGAAAGGGAGGAACAAAGCTGCATTCTTCAATCCTGGCATCATAACCTTTTAGGTCATCCAAGGGATGGACAATGTAGAAACAAAAATAAGGGGCATCAAAATGGACTGAACTGAGCATGGCTAATTTGGATCAAGCGCTCAGCCTACCATTTCCACATAACAAGCTTATTCTCAGCAATGACCAACTGCAAAGTCACATACGTGTTCAATCACTAGTCATGCCTTGCCACTTGCTGGGAACTTAAAATAACTTATTCATAATTAAGGAAAGCAATTTATATCAAATCTTATTTACAAAGTCTTTAAAAGTTAAAGAGTTTGGAGTCTGGCTGTGGAATGGTCATAGATTTCATAGAATGTTACGGCACAGGAGGCCATTCAACCCATCGAGTCTGTGCGGCTCTTTGACAGAGCGTCACTTTCACTAACCCCAATCACCAGCTTTCTCCCCATAACCCCACAAACCCGTCTTCCCCGATACCTGTCCAGTTCTCTCTTAAAAGCTGTTATGGAATCGGACTTCACTGCCCTTTCGGGCGGATCATTCCAAATCCCAACAACTCGCTGAGTGAAAACATTTCTTCTAACCTCCCCTCTGCTTCTTTTGGTAGATATCTTCAGACTGTGACCGCGGGTCACAGACACACCTACCAGCGGAAACAGCTTTCCCTATCTCGCCTGTCGAAACCTTTCATGATCTTGAAGACCTCTATCAGGTCCCCACGTAACCTTCTCTGCTCTAATGGGAAAAGTCCTAACGTCTCCACTGTCCTCATAGCTAAGGTTCCCCATTCCTGGTGTCATTCTTGTGAATCTCCTCTGTACCCTTTCCAGTGCCTTAATGTCCTTCCTGAGGTAATGTGCCCAGAACTGGACGCAGTACTCCAGCTGAGGCCTAACCAGTGTTTTGTACAGATTTACCATAACCCCTACTCTTATACTCTGTGCCCTACTAATAAAGCTCAGTACACCAAATGCCTTTTTACTGCCCTATCTACCTGCCCCGATACCTTTAATGATTCGCTTACTTGAACGCCCAGATCTCTCTGTACGTTCACCCCCTTAAGATTGAGCTCCAAGTCTATATTGCCTCCTATCATTCTTCCTATCTACGTGTATCACCTCACACTTATCCACATTGAAACCCATCTGCCACATGTCAGCCCATTCCACCATTCTGTGTATGTCTGTCTGCAGTCGGTTAGTCCTCCTCACTATTTACCACATGACCATGTGACCACATGGTCTACATGACCACAAGTCATGTCAGACTTGTGGAAAGAAATGGCTCTGACACATAACCCATGAAGGTGGCTCCAAGGTGACATGATTGGCACTGGAATGTTGGAATCGAGGCAGCCCTCTGCAACGGTCTCCTGTCTGGTTCCTGAGCCAAGCGGGTCCACAGTATTCCAGGACACTGCTGATGACAGTACAGCTCAGCTCATCAGCAGAAGGGCAGACCAGTCACTTGTGGAGGCACGTGGTGAGGGAGAAAAGAGAGATACTGACAAGAGAGTAATGTGATTCGTGTGACTAACAAACTAGTTCCTGTGGAGAATTTTGGTTTTTAAAATGGTTTTGTTCTCCTGCTTTAGAATGACATGTCAGATTTTAACCCCTACACCTTTTTTAAAATCCTACTGGTCACCTTAATCCAGTGTAAAGCTGGTACAAAGCTCTGCTCCTGGGCTACACTGAGAGGAGGAAACAAAGGCAAGATCTTCTGATCAAAATAGCAATGCAGTGTCCCCTGCTGGCAAAGGCACGCATGCAGATGCAGCACGGAAAAATAATAATCCTTCATTTGATACAGCACCTTATCACATCTTTGAGACATCGCAAAGCAATTCACAGAATAGTGTATTTTGCAGTCAATTGTGCACAGCAGTGTCCCACACACAGCCATGATTCAATGACCAATTTATCATTTATTTTAAAGGAATCATTACCCCCAGAAACGCCATCCGCCAATCAACTAACAACCAGGTTTCTACTTGAAATCAGTAGCATAGGGAAACAAAACAAATTTGTTGATAGGACCATTACAGGGAACAATTTTTTGAGACGAGTGAACTGGCAACAGCTCAAAGGAAAGCAGGAGACGATTGAGTACACAATTCTGAAAGATCACGCAAGAACAGTCGTTCATTTGGGGTAGTTAGGAGACGTGGGCCATGCATCATTACCTGCCAAGTGACGGGCAGCCAAATCAGGTCCTCACACGTTTGCTGATGCAGCTCAGCAACCATAACCTAATCAAGGTGCCACGTGCAGTTTTTGGTAGTTTCTACATCAAAATAGCATCTCTGCTCATCAACATGTGGCAGCACTAGTTTAGCATTCTAACTTACACGTGCATTGCTTTGTGTCTGAAATGCTTACCCAGCATCTGCTTCTGCTCCTGTGGAGGGGCAGCAGCCAGCATCGAGGCAGTCAGGGGTTCTTGGCCTTGTACGTGAACGGCAGGCTGTAAAGGAAAAGCAGAATAATAATCCTCATTTCTGATATAGGACCTTATCATGTCTTTGAGACGACTGTGAAGTTAATTGACTGTAAACTTTGTGAGTGAAACACGGCAGCCAATTGCACACAGCAGGGTCCCACAAACAGTCGTGGATTGAGTGACTAAATTTAAAAAATTCTAAGGGATTGTTACCCCCGAAAAGTGATCCACCAATCGACTAACAACTGAGTTTCTACTTTCTGCTAGGTAAGCAGAGGCGTTTGTATGTGGAACAAGGAATCTTGCCTACGGCTGTGCTCTGCCCCGAAACCAAACCCTGGTCCTCTCGCTTGTGAGGCGAGTTCTCTAACCACTGCCCTACAGGACCCCAAGTACGGCAAAGTGTGAGGTTTCCAATGTTAAACTTTATTTAAAAAATTGCATTGTAAATTTTGCTTTGGGGGATTAAGGGGGCAAGGTGACACTTCAGTGTTCTGAACTGAACATGAATTGAAGGGATTATTACCCCCAGACAGCTATCCATCAATCGACTAACAACCAGGTTCCTACTTACCTCAAGGTAAACGGAAGCGTGTAGGATGAGGAAACTTGCCTGAAACAAGTATATGGCATATAGGTGTAAACGCCTGAGGGAGTTTGCACGTATATGGTGAACAGTCAGAACGGACATGAACTAACAAAATGGCCAGCTGCCACTCCTATACTGGAGGAATATGGAACCATAACTAAAAGCTGTCTCTCACATTTTGTTGATACCATGTGGGCGGACTTAGTTTCATTAAAACCAATAAGAACATTGGGAACACTGCAGGATTTGCCCTCAGGAGGGAGGATTCTTACAAACAGGTTTCAGCACAGAATAGGCCTTTGCTTCTGCTTTTTTTTTAAAAACAGTCTCAAGCCTTTTATTGTTTCATTCCACTTTCCAGCGCTTTATTACAATAATCCTTGCATTTGATACAGCGCCTTATTGCGTCTCCTCGACGTCTCATAGCACTTCACAGAATATACTGTAAAGTGAATTGACTGTAGACTTCGGGGACAAAAAGCAGCAGCCAATTGTGCACAGCAGCGTCCCACAAACACAGACTGATTGACCAAATTATTCCCCCCCATATCCCATGCATTCTCAGCTGCTAATTCGGTTTCGTCTTGTAATGATCCCAATAGTCACTTGTGCTAATTATTCTAACCGTGACAAGCCTCTGAGTGAGGTTCAGTTAATGCTTTCCCCTGGTTTTGACAAACCTGATACGATAGGGGCCCCTCATTCCCAGCTGAATGAAATCGTCTGCCCCGCCCTTCAGTATGTTAAACACCTCCATCATATTGCCACAGACATCTTTTGTCCAGCATCATTCTTGTGAATGTCTTAACATGTGTTAGGTCAGGGTATTGAGCGATATGGAGCAGGGCGGGTAAATAGAGTTGAGGTACAGATCGCAAGGGGCTCCGGGTCCAGGCTTTTGACTGCCAAGGGCCAATGCCATGTTTGAGAAACGTCCGAGGGTGGCATAACAAATATTTTAGTGTTTCCCTTCCAGAAACATAACATTTACAGGGTATTTAGAGAGCAGGTGGGCCAGATGAAATGGTGGGGGGGGGGGCTGAAATCAGCCCAATGGCCGGATGCACCCGACGAGGTGCCAGTTGGACCACCCTGATCTACTAGAATGGCGGAACAGGCTCGAGGGGCTGAAGGCCTCCTCCTGTTCCTATGACATACTAAATGTAAATCTCATGTACAATACATCAGGTGAATAAAATCTGACAATGTCGGAACAGGAGTTTGATCCAAAGGGAACATACCTGTTGCATGGTGACCTGAGGCTGGGCGTTGAGATGCTGTTGAGGATTGCGAACTCCAGCAGCGTACTTGTACTGTGTGAATGAACGGACACCGGGAGCAGTAGTGCCTGGGCGAGGACCCATCGTCTGTGTTGCTGTGTTTGCTTACACAAAAATGAAAATGAACGAAACCGCTCAAAAGTCTTAAGTTTTAAGACTTAAGACTAACTATCATCAAATTCAACTGAAATCTATGCATCTTAACAGTCAACAACAAAAATGTTAGAAAAGGAAGTACAGTAGAACACCAGCATGCAAATAGAACTGCCAGGTGCAAGTGGATGGAGATAGACACAGCCGCAGAGAGGCAAAAGAGAGCGAGCGAGTGAAAGAGAGGAGAGGAGAGGAAGAGAGAGAGAGTCGCAAAGGGAGATGACAGGAAGAGTTAGAGATGAGATCAGAGCCAGAAGTCAGCAGCACTTTACAGGGAAAGGTGAACTAAGTTCCTGTGCATTAACAGGTGCTATAAATTAAATGCATTTTGTGCTCATAAAATACAAACTGACCGACTCTCTGGGTGCTCATGACACGTGGCACCTGGGCTGAGGTTGGTCTCATTGAGCTGATGGTTGGTGGTCGAGGGCCTGTTGGACGCATGCCACTCGGCATGTTCTGGAATGCTGTTAAGGAAGAAAACTATTACAATCAGACAGTGCAATCTCAAACAGAACAGTAAACAAAAAAGGAAATTAAATAAAATAACAAGGCACAGAGAAAGGGACTAAGTGGATAGGTCTTTCAAAGGGTCAGGTAGTTATAACGATAATAATACTTGCACTTGATATACAGCCTTATCGTGTCTTCAAGATGTCTCAAAGCTTTTCTCAGAATATACTGTAAAGTAGATTGACTATATTTGAGGGCAAAACACGGCAGCCAATAACACACAGGAACATCCCATACAGTCGTGGATTGTGCAACCAAATTATTTATTTTTGGAGGGATTATTACCCCTTGGAAAAGCAATCCGCCAACAACTGGGTTCCTACTTACAGCTGGTAAACAGAGGCGTGTGGAGTAAGGACACTTGGCTAAGGTTTTGCCCTGCTCAGGAATGGAACCTGGGTCCTCTTGCCTGCGAGCTGAGCGTGAACCATTGAGCTACAGAACTCCACAATGTTGGGTTGAATAGCCTCCTCCTGTGCTGTGAAATTCTATGTATCCAAACAACATTCCTTTTATGTTAGCAATTAAGTGCATGACCCACTCCTCATTAACACACAAAAATAAACTTAAATAAACAGGTTAGTGTTCAGTATACACTTACGTTGGGGTCTGACACTCTGGGGATTCCAGCGAGGACTTGGTCGGAGTTGAGCAATCTGACCTGCTGGGTAATATGCTGTACGGTTCTGAGCCTGTGTACACAAAATAATGAAAAGGGTTCAGGCTTCAAAACGGGTTTACTATTTAACTTACAGGAAACTCCCTCCACTCCACCATTGCTGGCCGTGCCTTCAGCCACTACACCCCGAAACCCTGAAACTCTCTCCCTCAACCCCTCCGCCTTGCCCCCTCGCTCCCCACTTTCAAATCCCACCTTTTTGATTGTGCTTACGATCACCCTCTCCCCCTGGCTTACGATCAGACTCCGCCACTATCAAGCGCTCTGGGACGCCACCCCACGTGAAGGGCACAATATAAATGCAAGTTGTCGAATACAATATTTGTTCCCATTTTCACCCTCCGTGCAAGATGTTTACCTGAGGGGGAATGGCAGTCATGAAGTAGCCAGAGGGTGGAGCAGACTGGTACGGGTTGATCACAGGATTGGGTACAGCTCTGACACTCGCCATCCTCTGCATGTACTGGTTTGTCAGATGAGCTTGTCGTTCTTCTTTGCGCTGAGCCAAGGCAACATACAAGGGCTTCGTGCTGACAATCCGCCCATTCATTTCAGTTACAGCCTTGGTGGCCTCTTCTGGGGAGGAGAAGCAAACAAACCCAAAGCCTTTGCTGCGTCCGTGTTCCATCATTACCTACAAAAAAGTCATACACTTAGATTGTACCCGTTGTTACGATCTGGAAATCACTGCCTGAAAGGGTGGACGCCAACTCGATAGTAACTTTCAAAAGGGATTTGGAGAGGTACGTGAAAAAGAAATATTTGCAGGGCTACGGGATACAAGTGGGGGGAGTGGGACTAGTTGGGCAGCTCTTTCAAAGAGCCGCACAGGCACAATGGGCTGAATGGCCTCCTTCAGATTCTAAGATTTAATCAAGACACTAATTGATATTATAAATCAACAACAAGATTGCATTTATAGAGCGCCTTTTTACGTCGGGAGGACCTCCCAAGGCGCTGGACAGTTTGGTCAGGACACGAGCATTGGGGGGAAATGGTCAGGGGGAGGGAAGGGAGGGGGCGAGGAGGGGGTAATGGTCAGGGGGAGGGGAGGGAAGGGAGGGAGCGAGGAGGGGGTAGAGAGTTGAGAGGGGAGGTTGAAGACAAAGATCTTGAGACCGGCCTTGAAGGAGGAAAGGGAGGAAGCGGCGAAGGCACTGGGGATGGAGTTCCAGAGCCTCAGGGCTGAGAGGCTGAAGGCCCGGCCACCGATGGTCGGGCGGTTGGGGCGGGGGATGTGGAGCAGACCGGAGCCAGAGGAACGGAGGTTATGGGCAGGTAAGTAGGGGGATAGTAGGTCGGAGAGGTAGGAGGGAGCGAGGCCGTGAATGGCCTTGTAGGTGAGGATCTTGAATTCGAGCACCCATAGACAGCCTCATTAATATAAAGATGATCTAAAGAGCAACACAAATGGGAATATTTCATTCTGTAAACATTCCCTTCCTCAATTCCAGCCTTGTAGGGAGATACAGAATGGAACTTTACTGGATAATGTTTTTAAAAGGCACGTGGAATACACAGTACATATGTTTTAGCCAGTTACATATAACCTTTACCGTTACAAAAACCTTCTGTTTGAGACCAAGAACAGCGTAGGAAAGAACTAAATCCAGCTCAGTCAACAGCACTCTCTCTTGCCTTTTGACTCAGATGGTTGTTGGGTTCAAGCCCCAGGTCAGGACTTAAGAGCTCAGTTTTGACTAGCAATCCCACCCATTACTTGGGATATGTCCTTTGCATGAGACAAACCGAGACCTTGTCTGCCTTCAAATTGGACGTTAAAAATCACATTGCACTACTCGCAAAGAGAAGGGAGTCTCTCTCTCCTGGCATGCTGGCGAACAACCCCCAAATAAAACTGATTATTCACTTTATCGCTGTGAAACATTTCTGCACAGAAATTGGCTGCCGCCTTCGCCTACAAAATAGTCGCTGCAGTAAATCCTGAGAAGCGCTTTGAGACGTTTCGATGACATGATATCAAATGCAATGATTATTACCTTAGCACTTGTAATTGTTCCGAATGGTGAAAATTCTTTACGCAGACGCTCATCATCAATACCGTCATCCAGATTTTTGACGTACAGATTGACTCCCTGAACATTGAAATAAAGACGCCATGAAATTTGCACGAAACATTTGAAAACAAGTATGACTTTATAGCAAAAACTAATTTTCTGGGTTATAGCTTCAATTCGCTTCAAATCACTTAACTCCAAAAAGCTGAAAAATAACACATTTTCATTTCATCCTCAAGTTTGCCTAAAATTGGATTGAAGTGGGGAGGGTGTGTAACACTACATCACACACTTGCATTTTAGCAGTAAGTTAGTCACATACTCAATCCAGGAGTGAAATTGTACCCCAATTGACAGTCGAGTTGCTGCCACTATTCACCTGGTATCTTGTGATTCTGTCCTGTTTCATCTGCTCAAACTTTCGCTTCAGCTCAGTCTGTCGCTCAACTTTCTTCTGGGCACGGCCAACGTACACCTGTCTCCCGTTGATTTCTTTTCCATTCATCTCGTCCACAGCCTAATAAAACCAGGAATGAGGAAAACATGACGAACGCAGAAAAAATACAGTGAGCTGACTAGATCACAGTCAAGCTTCGGGTTGTGCAACTGGCAGCCCCTTTCAAGCGCCCCACATGAAGGGCACTAGATAATAGATTTGTTGTTGTTGTATTTCAAGCTTGTGCCCAAGCTGTGTGTGTGAATGATACAAATGGCTGCCGGCTCTGGGCCAAAATCCTAGTGAAATCATCACAGAAATTGAGTGTTTGGAATGGAATGTGCACTCTCCCCAAAGGGACAACAACTGCTTACCTACTTGGGAAAGGATTTGGCACAGGTTGGCAAGAGTTCAGGCTTGGAAAACCCCCCAAAATGCAGAGGGGTAGCTGCTGGTGTCTAACCGGCTTAAAAACCACATAGCTTACAACTGAGGGCACTGTCTGTTAAGTCTGTCCAGCTCGGACCAGCTTACCCATCCTGTGGTACATACTTTCTAGCTATCTCAGAGCAGAAATAAAAACAGCAAGGAGGTGGCGCTAGATCATTACAAACATATTGCGATCCATTCTGGGAGCCACAATCGCAGAAGATGTCAAGAAGGCCATGGTGAAGGAACAGAGGAGATTCACAAAGATAATAGGAGACAACAGCAACATTTTGAAGTTATCTTTTTCTCAACTCTGTTGGGTGTTCTCTTTTGCAATCGTGTTTTTTTCTTATTTTTTTAACAAGTATCTTGCCTGGTCATTCCAGAAGGCACACATCCAGGACTATGCAAGGATGGCAGATTGCTCTTAACGAGACTCCACCAGAAAGGAAATCGGGTTATTTTGATGGTGCCAAGTTTAAATTGTTTTTGGTGGGTTAATAAATGGAAGTATGCCCTACAAAACGACAGTGGCTGCTTGAAGCAGAATTTACAACAGCGTGTGAAAGGCAATCAAGATAAATACAGTGAAAGCCACTTTAGCTGGAAACTCGTTAACCCGGGACGCCGGGTAAATGGGACAAAACGGCAAGCCCTTATTCATTTGTATTCTCAGCCAATTTAAACATGTTGGCTAATCCGGACAAATTGCCACACTGACCGTCACTGAAACCATTCACTCTGTGTCTCGAGCGGCGGAAGTCAAATCGTGATTTGTCAAAACCTGGAGCTGCTTGGGAATGGACAGAGTTCTCATCCATCCACATGCCAGTCCAGGCTGTCAATCACCTGAAAGCCACTGCTATAATAATAATCTTGAATTTGCTATAGTGTGTTTCACGTCTTCGAGACGTCTCAAAGCGCCTCACAGAATATGCTGTAAAGTGAATTGACTGTATTTTTGGTGGGCGAAACGCAGAAGCCAATTGCGCACAGCAGCGTCCCACACACAGTCGTGGATTGAAAATGAACAATTTATTATTGTTTTGTTTGGGAGCGATTCTTATCAAATGGCGGGGCAGGCTCGAGGGGCCGAATGGCCTACTACTGCTCCTAATTCTTATGTTCTTATTATCAGGCATGTGGAGTAAGGAAACTTGCCCAAGGTTTCGCCCTGCCTGGAATTGAACGCAGGTCTCTTGCTTGCAAAGCAGGTGCTCTAACCACTGAGCTACAGGATTCCACTATTCGTCCCCTTCCCATCTCATGGGAATGAGGAGCCTCCGCTCCTCTGCTGGGTATGAAGAACTTCAGTTAACCTCAGACACCGCTTAAGCCAGACAAATGTTTCCAGCTTAAGTGGCTTCCACTGTCTTTGGAGACAAAAATATAAAAGGTGTGAGGAAGGAGCAAGGCAGGAGATGAAACAGACAGCTATTTCAAAGGCACTTCATGTTGTAAAATTCTGGTAAAATTCCTTTGGATTCTTACAAAAATACACTTACCTTCTGAGCATCCTCGTGCTTTTCGAAACTGACAAAACCAAAGCCCCTTGATCTTCCACTATCGTCGGTCATGACCTTCACACTCAAGAATGCTCCTTTAAACAATATGCACAAAAAAAAACTCAGTGCAGGAATTACAAGTATTACAGGTTATACAATAAACGTTCCCTCTCTACTTTCAAATTCCACCTAAAGACTTTCCTTTTTGATCGTGCTTAGTCATCTCACCTCTCCCCCTGGCTTGTTGTCAGACCAGCCATTGCCAAGGGCTCCGAGATGCTACCCCGTGTGAAGAGCGCTATGTAAATGCAATGGGTGGAGTGACCAACGTGCAGCCGAAGAGGTATGTACATATTAACGCAAGGCCCACCTGTTGGGGATATGGAATGATCTGATAACTGGGAGCCGAAAAGTTTTCAGTCCATGGACACAGAGCTTACCCCCACCAGTGAGGAGGCTTCATTAAACAATGGAAGTGCAAACTAAGATCTTTGTAAGGGATGAGAAACGATTCTGCATAACAGTGACATTGATTTCTTCAAGGAGTTCAGAAGTGCGGTGTAAACTAACCAAATTTATTGAAGAGTTCTTTCAACCTCTCGTCATCCATATCTTCACCAAAGTTCTTGATGTACACATTGGTGAACTCTTTAGCTTTTGCTCCAAGTTCAGCCTCGCGCTCTTTACGTGATTTGAAACGACCCACAAACCTATAGAAAACAGTGTTCAAATATACAAACTACAGAAAACAGTGTTCAGGTGTTCACCTCCTTGTGAAAGCAGCAACTCGTTTATATCAGTCCTCTTTCGTCACACAGATCCGCTCAGTGAATGTGGCCTGCTTCAGGTTTCCCACCCTATGCCCTTAACAGCAAGCTTTTAGCTATTCTGCCCCTGTAGTGTAGTGGTTAGAACACTCGCCTCGCACACAAGAGGATCAAGGTTCGATTCCCAGGCGGGGTGAAACCTTAGGCAAGTTTCCTTACTCCCTCATGTTCTGTCCTACGGCTCTGAACCCCTCAATCTCCCTGGCGTATCCCTCAGCCTTACCAAACCGGTGTGCAACCTAGGAGTCAGGTTCGACCCACAGCTATCCTTCCTTCCCCACCATGACCAAGACTGCCTTCCTCCACCACATTGCCCACATCCAACCATACCTTACACCAGACGCAGTCCAAACCCTCGTCCATGCATTCGTCACTTTCTGCCTCAACTATTCAAACGCCCTCCTTGCCAGTCTCCCCAGCTCTACCATCCACAAAATCCAGGTGACCCAAAATTCCGCCGCCCACATATACACCTGTTCTAAACTCTGCACCCTCATCACACATAGCCAGGTTCCCTACTGCTGAGCGGTTCAATTAAAAAGATCCTGACACTCATTTTCAAATCCCTCTCCGCTCTGGCACTTCCCTACCTCTATGACCTGTTTATTCCCAACCCACTACCTCCGCTTGACTGGCTCCGGCCTCCTGCATGTCCCTTGTGCCCTCTGTTCCACCATCAGTGGCTGCGCTTTCAGCTACTATGCCCCAAAACTCTGGACAAACGTCCTCTATGCCCCCGCCTTGCTCCTTCCCTCCCCATCTTCAGGTCGTGCCTGAAGACCTTCATCCTTTTCCATGCCTACGGTCACCTCCTCCAGCTCAGCGTCGTTCTCCACCACTGTCAAGCATTCTGGGCACTACCCTGTGTGTTACCCTATGTAAATGTGAGTTGTTGTTGTCAAGACAGTAAAGTGAATTGACTGTATATTTTGCAGGTGAAACATGGCAGCCAGTTGTGCACAGCAGCATCCCACAAACAGTCGTGGATTGAGTGAGTAATTTTTACTGGGGGGGGAGGGAGAGAAGAGTTAATTGTCCTTGGAAAGTGACCCGCCAATCAACTAACAACCAGATTCCTACTTACTGTTAGGTAACAGAGGCGTGTGGAGTAAGAAAACTTGCCCAACGTTTCACCCTGCCGGGAATCAAACCCAGGTCCTCTCATTTCAGAGTGCTCTAATCACTAAACTACAGGACTCCATGTGTACTACATTCACAATAAAATCCATTGAAATGAGGTGTTACTTTGGGGGGAAAAAAGATGCGAGTGCTGCATTTAAAGTACCTTTACTCTGAAAGATGTGCGGTGCTGAGCACAATGTCACATTCCCATTATCCATTTGCGAAGTGATTACAGCTTTCAAAAACTGAAAGCACAAAAGCCCTTTCTTTCTTCAACTGAAAGCTAATGATCAACAGCTGCATTGTAGTTGTGACACATCAGTTTTGCACATCAAAGCAGAAATATGCTCTCACTAACAGCAGAGAAAGGATTCCTGAAAGAGTAAACTCAGCCACCGGGTGCCGAGAACTTCACAGGATCATTCAATAGTTTAGAAATCCTCAAAATGAAGATATCCTCTGAAAAGAACACTCCCCTCAATCAAGGGGACTGTTACCTTTTAGTTTATTTATCAGAGCAGTTCAACTTATAAGATATTTCAACCTGGAGACCTCATTTGTACGTACACTTTGCGATCGTTGAGAAGCATGCCGTTCATCTTCTCAATGGCACGTTCGGCCGCTTCATGGGTCTCAAAGTGGACAAACCCGTAGCCCTTAGATCCATTCTCATCACAGACCACCTGGAAGACACACATTGCTCAATCTATTCATCACAATTAGTAGTGGATTCCCTTTCCAAAATGACTTAAATTAGGGTTAAGGGGTAGTTATACTAGTTGGTAGCTCTTTCAAAGAGCTGGTACAAGTCGATGGGTCGAATGACCACCTTCTGTGCTGTAAGATTCTATGAAAACATTTGAAGAACCTAAAGGGGAGGGGTACAAGATGCATGCACCATTTCACTACAGTAACCTTGGTTTACTTCAGTAGCTAACTGACAAAAAGACCTATCAACAGTCTTAATTCAAATCATTGTGTACGTAACCACACATCATAACACTTATGTTTGCCAGGACACAGCCGGCATAAACTCCCTTCTCTTTTTGTAACTTGTGCCATGGGATCTTTTAACATTCAACTGAACAAACAGACTTGGTTTAATCTCTCATCTGAAGGATGGCACCTCCAACAACGCAACAGGTATCAGCCTTGGGTCTATTTACCTAGGCAAGCTATAAAAGCTGATCATTTTAGACTCAAATGGCCAATATGCGATAGGAGGGCACAAGCAGGAGTTAACATGGAGTCAACTTTGCAAACCAAAAATTCAAGAACACGAGCAATCAGCAAAAAAATATTCAGACAACAGAAATTTGGTTAACAAAGGATCCAACATTTGTGTGCAACATAACAGGAACTGATCCACGTTACAAAAGCTGTCCTTGTTTTTGAATCGTCAGGTTTGGCTGCTGCTTACCTTGCAGGAAAGTATGTTGCCAAATGCGGAGAATGTGTCATACAGCGCTTTGTTATCAATGGACTTGTCCAGGTTCTTGATGAAGATGTTTCCAACTCCAGATTTCCGCAGAGATGGGTCACGTTGAGACCACATGATACGAACAGGCTTGCCTTTGATGACATCGAAATTCATGGTGTCCAAAGCACGTTCAGCTGAGGGAATAACCGGTTTGATACAGAATTATTCATCACATTCAGCAATGACTGATACCATCCAACCGAATAATAATGCAGAGCAAGATCAATTCAACAACAACAACATGCATTATCATATGAATTCTGCTTTATTTTATAAAAACAATTCAAGCTCTTTCTTGTATAAACAGAACCAAGACATTCTAGAGGACTTCGGGTATTCTCTAGGTCAGTTTGTAACACAAGCCAATAGCACAGCTTTTTGCACCATATTGAATTACTGATGGTAGCTTATGGCAAAAGCCAGGAGAAAGACAAATTGCCCACTTTCCTTGTGTCTTCGCAAAAAAAAGGTTCCAACCCTGCAACTCCATCCCAAGTCTTTGGCCCCACCCCCTCGGTTGCCACCTGCTCCAGCCACCCCTTTGGTCATCCTCCGACTTCCAGCGATTTGAGATGTCCTCCCGACGTGAAAGGTGCTATACAAATGTCATTTGTTGTTGGTTCAGCAGTTTGACTTCTGACACACTGGCCGATAGACATCTGGCGCATGCTTGCAGGAAGCCAGCCAGGGAGTTACATCAGCCCTAGCAATACAGACACGCTCGCAAGAGCGCTCTCATCTTACACAAGAAGCCTAAAATGTATTGCACTTTTGGTCCACAAGAAACCAATTGTTCAGCAAATTCATGTTCTAGTAAGGTGCGTCTTAAAATAAGCACACCTCATAAACCTGGGGAAAAAACACACATCAAAGCAAAGCAAGTTAAAGAAAAGAAAGCCTAAATGCAAAATCCATTTGATGTTGAAGCAGTAGCCAGGTTCCTGCAGTTTGTGTATTACAGATGCATTGTTGAATTTGGGTTAAAGCATTACTTGAACCCAAGCGAAACAAAATCTACAAGGAAGGTGGAAGACCAATTGGATGAACCTTAGTCTTCTTTCACATAGCAAATTCTTATGTTCTTAATACAGATAATCCTTACATTTGAATGCGACTTTCATGTCAGGAAGACATCTCAAAATGCTGAATTTATTGTAAGCATAGTAACTGTTTTCCCCCAAAAAAAGCATCCCAATTTGTTTATAGTGCAAATGTTGCTGTCCGCTCGGCAACCACACTTTGGTAGCAACAGTGTAACATGGAATCAAGGAATACTTGTGAAGATCAGACCACTTGCTAACTACACAAGCAGAAACCATTACCCCCAGAAAGCAATCCCAACTGGGTTCCTACTTTCCGCTAGGTAAATGGAGGGAATCGATCCCAGGTACTCTGGCTTGCAGGGGAGTTTGCTAGCCACCTCACTACGGGACTCCAAGAAATAATTATCGACTCTATCCCAACCGGTTGTAATCTCAAAAGCTTTCATCAGGTCATCTCTTAAACTTCTTAACTCTCGTGGAAAAAAGCCAATTTCCCCACCCCCAGCAGATCAAATTCAAGACCCTCGTTCTCACATTCAAATCCCTCCAAAACTTCACCACACCCGACTTCTGTGATCTCCTGAAAGCCAACCGACACCCAGCCAGGGGAGCCGGATTCCAAGCCGGGGGGGGAGCGGGGGGGGGGGCGCGGGGGGGAGGAAGCATGGTGGCCATAAGCACGGTTAAAGAGATGCTTTGAGATGACCTCCCAGCGTAAATCGTAAGCTAGGTCACACCTTTCTTTACTGTTTATTTCCTCTGCCAATAACCAGCACGCCCAAACCTGCAATACACTAAGACATTCAAAGTGTACCAGTTCAATTTTCATCAAGGGTATTTATGGGATCTTGCAGTGTTAATGTAATGTAATGTACTGTAATTAATGTAAAAGTATTAATTCGGCCTCAGCGAGAGACCGTGTTCAGTTCTGGGCCCCACACTGTCTGAAGGATGTCAAGGCATTGGAGAGGGTGCAAAGGAGAGGTAGAGAAGCTCGGATTATTCTCCTCGGAGCAGAGAAGGTTAAGAGGAGACTTAATTTTTCAAAATGATGAGGGGATTCGATAGGATGAACGAGGAGAAACTATTCCCACTGGCGGTGGGTCGGTAACCCGAGGACACCCATTTATAATAGCTGTTATAAGAAACAGAGGGGAGGGGAGGAGAAATGTGTTCACACAGCGATTTGTTGGGGTCTGGAATGCATTGCCTGAAAGGCCGATGGGAACCGATTCCATAACAACTTTTAAGAGAGAAGCAGATAATTATTTGGGGACAAGTTTGCAGGTCTATGGGGAGGGAGCGGGAGAGTGGTTGATCAGGGCTATGGGGAGAGAGTGGGGGAGTGGGGTTGATCAGGGCTATGGGGAGAGAGTGGGGCAGTGGGGTTGATCAGGGCTATGGGGAGAGAGTGGGGGAGTGGGGTTGATCCGGGCTATGGGGAGAGAGCGGGGGAGTGGGGTTGATCCGGGCTATGGGGAGAGAGTGGGGTTTAATCCGGGCTATGGGGAGAGAGTGGGGGAGTGGGGTTGATCAGGGCTATGGGGAGAGAGTGGGGTTGATCAGGGCTATGAGGAGAGAGGGGGAGTGGGGTTGATCAGGGCTATGGGGAGAGAGGAGGAGTGGGGTTGATCAGGGCTATGGGGAGAGAGGAGGAGTGGGGTTGATTGGGGCTATGGGGAGAGAGGGGGAGTGGGGTTGATTGGGGCTATGGGGAGAGAGGGGGAGTGGGATGGATTTTGAATCTCTTATCAAAGAGCCGTTACAGACACGATGGGCCGAATGGCCTTCTTCTGTGAGGTATAATTCTATTCTGAGGAGTTTCAAGGCTCTATTAAAATGAATACAATTTGTATCCGAGCCACGACCTCCTCGTTTTTTGAACAAATCGCATTACAAGACTGAAGACGTAAGTTTATTTAACCTCCTTCCCCAACTTTTAATAGCAATTCAAACAGAATGGTGACAAAGAAACACTCTTCTGAACAGACTAAATCACCTAACCTTAGAATTTGGATTCTAAATCAGTCTCCACAATAACGATTGATACTGTATAACCACATTGTCAAACTGCTGGATACAAGCTTAGTTTTAACACACACATTCTTGCCAAAAAACTAAGGGAAACCAAGTTTGATTCATATGAAAATGTTACAGAATAGGGCAAATTACTTCATATTAATAATCCTTGCATTTGATGTCGCGCCTTATTAAGACGTATCAAAGTGCTTCACAGAATATACTGAATATCAAAATGTGGACCAATTCTATCAGAATAGTCACGATTACTTTTGTGGCTCTGGCCTGGAACCTACTACTATACTCACGATTACAGTTCAGGTCCTTAAGTGAATCATCAATTTCTAAAATGTGAAATCAGGGTATATATCAAGACTGAAAAAGGGACATTTGACCAACCCACATTAATGATACCAGCTTCCAGCAGTGAGTTCCACACTCACCACACTCTGCGTAACGTTCCTCCAAAGTGCCCATTAGATCTACTGCTGGTTTTAATATTCATGCCCCCGCATTTTAATCTCAGTAATAAGTGAACAGCTTATTAGCATCCACATTATTGAATCTTTTCAGAATATTCAACGCTTCCATCAGGAGGCTCTCTCAAGTGCTTCATCCACAGATAGAAAAGCTTTAATCTGCCTGAACTTTCCTGATCCCTGTGGCCACACATCCCTAACATTCTTGCAAGCTTACACTGCATTCTCTCCAATACTAGAATAACCTTCCTGTAATACGATGGCCAGATCTGCACAGTCCTGCAAATGTGGTCCAACTGAGGTGTTATATAAATTCAACATTACTTCTCTTAATATTCTATTCTTCTGGATATAAATCCTAACAGCAGTATCCTAGAGTATAAATAAACTAGGCTTCTTTATTCTACCAGCCAAAGTAAATCGCTGCACATTTCCTGATATTGAATTTCACCCGTCACCTATGCTGCAAGACTTGCGTCTTCCTGCATTTTTTTTGCGATCCTCTTCATTGTTTACCACAGCCCCAATTTGGTGTTATCTGCAAATTTTGACACTATACCTTCTTTAGGCGAGTGAATCATTTATGCACATGTTGAAGATCAGGAGTTTTACAGATCTATGATCTGTGTAAGGCTGATGGTAAACTCGCCAAGCATATCCCTCTTGAAAGCAGGATAAGGCCACCCACCAATGTATTCATCAATAATGTATTGGATGGCAGAGGGGGATGGACTTGGTGTACCTTTTCTAGATATTCCTGGCAGAATCGTATCACTTCTGTTTGCAAATGACCGCTGGCCATTCTGGCTGCTGAGCTGTGTGGCCCATCAGGAAGCTCCTGGTACCTGACGTCAAACCCATCCTTGCTGGATTTAAGCGGGACCACCTTGAAGCTAAACAGGATCCATGCTTAGCAATGAAATGTCAGAATTGAGCCAGCCGTCTCTGGTAGTCTTAGTAGTCCAGTTCCTGAACCAGGCAGATCTGGAGGACTCCCAAGACACTGCTGATGACAGTACAGCCAGGCTGTTGCTGGATCTCTGAAGCTTCTCTGGAACCTCCATGTATAGGCTGGTTGCATGGAACCCCTCATTCCTGCATCATTCACTTCCTTATTCGCTGGCTCTATGCTTTGTTAGCATGAGGCTTGAGCAGTAATCCAAAGACTATTAACTTCGAGGTCCTGCTACAAGGCTGTAAATATATAGCCAATGTTCTCTCCTGCACTAGGCCCACCAAGCCCATCATCCACATCTTAGCTCGGCTCAAATGGCTCCCCATCAACCAGGGATCAAGTTGAAGACCCCCACTCTCACCTTTAAATCCCTCCATGATCTCGGCCCCCCCCCACCCCACACCCTACCTCTGCAACCTTCTTCAATCCCACCAACCCGAACACTCCCGTCGCTCAGCAAGCAATGGCCTGCTTCATGTTCTCCAATCTATGTGCCCCACCACTGGTGTGTGGGCTTATAGCTAGTCTGCTGCTCTATGGAATTCTGTCTCCAAGTCCCTCTGACTCCCTCCTTCTTTTCAAGGCGCATCTCAATAACAATAATAATCCTTGCATTTGATGTAGCGCTTTTCACATCTTCTAGACGTCTCAAAGCGCTTCACAGAATATTCAGTAACGTGAATTGACTGTATATTTGTGGGCGAAACGCAGCAGCCAATTGCGCACAGCAGTGTCCCGCAAACAGCCATGGATTGAAGTGACCAATTTATTATTGTCAAATCCACTTTGACTGCACATTCGGTCATCGTTCCCCTTCCCACCCATGCTTGAGTGCCCGTACAGTTCTGTGAAGCATTTTGAGACATCCTCCTCCCAATGTGAATGGCACCATATAGAAGTGTTACTGTACTGTACCACCTGCTCCACAGGGCTGCAGTTAGGATCTCCGCAGTCCTCCCCAGACTGTCCTTCCTCATCAACACAGGTAAGTTTATTACAACTGTAGGTTAGGACCATTTTCTCCAGTTCTTCATTCCTATTTGCCCCCTTGAGTGAAGAATTGCCCATTCTTCTTCCTTTCCCTGGCGAGCGACTGCCTGCTGGATTAAATCACCCAGATACTTAACTCATGCCTATTGTCAGATATTTCTCTATCTTGCACTCATATTTGCCACATATGCACAAAGCAGAAATTGACCCTGCAGCAAACCGATAACCCAAAAATCGACCACTCCCTTTAACATGTTATCACTACAAATACCAACTTCTGGGTTATCAGGTCTTCATCAATGTCACTCTGTTTGTGGATGCAGAAACCAGTTGGCAGGCAGGAAGCAAACCAGCTGCAAAGCATAAGCAATAACAATATCCAGCTATTGCACCTGGATTCAGTTGAGATCTTACCGATCCCAACTCCCACCAGAGCAAGGCACACAGAGAAGGAAGATAGTCAGCTGTCACATCTTGGCTCGTGCCAGCTCCTTCACTGGAATCTCAGTTCCCTTATCTTCCCCATAACATTGATTAGTGTTCCGGAAGTCCTATTCCAATTTTCTTTTAAATGCAGCCATTTGTGTAAGGTCAAAAACTGTGTGTTAGCAAAGAAATATTCTAATATCACCATTATTCTTCTGATAATCCTTAATCTGTCATGTTGCACTGACAATGGAAGCCATCTCTATTTACCTCACCAAAAACATTCAGAATTATGAAATGCTCTTAACCCTTGTATTATTCTGTCAATCTCTAAGGTAGTCACTATAATCATGATTGCCTTCTGTAATGAGTTGCTCAAAACTAGCCACAATACTCAACTACAGCAAACCAAAGTCTTGACCATCTAAACATTACCTCCTTGCTCTTAAATTCGATCGATAAAAGGCTGGAGTTAATTTTGCTTTTTCATGGTCTACTTGGATTTAAATAATATAAATTTAGGAATAGGAGAAAGTACATCAGCCTACCAGTTGATAGCACTTGCCTCGTCTCTGGGTCAGAAGGAAACAAAGAAAATAACTGCTGGGTTCTGAGCTCTATCAACTGATAGAAGATGAGCCAAAATGTCGTACCTATTAGCTCTGAACAGGTTCCCATTTTGTATGTTCTCAGTCAACTCATTAAATCTCATGCGCTGTAGTAAAATCATTGACAAACGTTCTCATTGCAGCACATTGTAACCTAAGATATGACAGTTAGGACTGACTTTTCCTGTCTTAAACACACACTTCCCATTACAAGTTAACCTGGGAAAAAGACAATGATAACCATTTTTCTCCCAGTTGAACACCAAACCCCAAGAATCGTCTGAAAACTATAGAGAAGGCTTCAAAGGTTATAAACTGCAAGGCAACCCTGTGACAATTAGAAGAGATTTAGTCACAGGGCCCTCACAAATTAGGCGTGTGCAGTGTAGAGGAAGTGGACCTTGACCTGGAAGAATTTTTCCGTACTTTGGTATAACGCAGGGGCTGGGCCCACACTGCGTTACAACAAAGTTGTCCCATCATAAAGTGAATTTACTACAATATTTCTCTTTGTGGAATACCATCTACTATCTTGACATCACTCCACTGCAGCAATTTTAAAAAGCTTCCCTTTCTCTCCCCATCCCCATTTGCCGAGTGGTAAAAGCAACTGCTCAGCACAGCACTAAGACAATGGCACCAAGTCACGGGTTCAATGTCCGCTTTGCTGCATTAGCTGATTTTAGCTCAGACATCACTAGAAGTGCTACAGTTGTTTTTCACACTGAAGTCGAAGGAGGACAAGGAATCAACAACAACTTGCGCTTATACAGCATAGCATCCTTCACGCAGGGCAGCATCCCGAAGTGCCTAAGGAGTCTTGGTCTCAGGCAGGGGACATAGTATCAGAAGTTACAGCATGGACCACAAAGCACTCAAGCCATCAAGCCTGATTCAGTGACTACTCAACCAATTTGAGCTAATTAATGTAAGGATCATTATTAATCGAACAAAGATTACTGGTTAGGAGGATAATCATCCTTATACTTGGTATAGTATCTTTCACCCCAGGTCATCTCAAAGCTCCTCATCGGGTGTTTGCTTTACTGTAAATTGTAAGGACTTTTTTTAACGAGGTTGATCATGTCAAAGGGGAGAATTTATTTCCACTGGTCGGTGAGTTAGAAACTAAAGATAGACTGATCTAAAATAAATACCAAAAGAGCAAATGAAGAGGTTATGAGAACTTCACCTGCACAATAAATACATTGTACGGTTCAGAGGAGAAATATAAGAACGGGAAAAGGGCAGAATGGGATCCTGTGGCATAAATTTCTATTGTTCTTCAACTGGCCAATTTCTACTTCTGATCACTACCAGTCAGTAATAGAAAGTAGCACACGGGGATGTCATGCAAGAATATGCTTAAGATCAGCTGTGACACCCCCCAGTCAATGTACCTGCTGAGCACAGCCTAACAAATGAGTGAACATTTGAACAAGGTACCAAAGGGCTGCCAATGCCCATTTCCTTTAGTTGAAAAATAGCCAAAGAATGTTCTAAACACATCTTCAATGCAACAAATAGACAATTTGCTACTAAGTTGTCTAAATATAAGATGACATTTGTACGCTTACCAGCATTCTAAATTGCAATGCTGATTACTGGCAGTTTTTGTCCAAATTTCCCCAATGATACCATTTAAATCCATTACACGTGAAATCTATGCACCATAAATATTACACCAATTCAGGTCACTATTATCAAACTACACGTACAGCAGGCATGGGAAACATTCAACCCATTAACATGGCATTAGATAATAGTAGATCTATCAGTTTCTAGGCTAGACTGCACCACTTCTAAAGCCTAAACAAGGACTGAAGCACACATTCTAGATTACCTTAACGATAAAATAATGCAAGTCACGCTTCTCCTGTCGACTCACTCACTCAGAACCACACACACTAGATACATGGTTAACATTCAATAAACTGCAAATGCTTGAAATCCGAAGCGAACGAACAATCTTGGGATTTTGCATCTGAGAAGCAGATCAACGCCTTGGGTATTCAAACGCAAGGCAATACCCAAAAAGTAACCTACGTTCGGCTGAAAAATCTCATGTTGCCAGGACAGAAACCAACGTTACACAATACTTCTGTATATAATACAGCATGAAAGCCTGTAGCACAAGTTGCCCGCCCCCCCCCCAACCCAAAAAACAATCTACCCTAGCAAGCTGGTTAAAGCCCTCCGGAGTCACTAAGCGTGTGGTTAAATACCAGCCCCGCGACGAAACACGGAATCAGCCCCCAAACACGAGCTGCGCTGGTTTCTCTGAAATGCTGCACTCTTGTCCAGCGCCTCGGGACGTCCTCCCGACGCGAAAGGCGCTATACAAATGTGATCTTGTCGTTGTTCTTCTCCCCCCCCACCCCACCCCTCACCCACCATTTAAAGTACCTTTTGGCATTCCTCTACTTCATTTGGCTCTATGAAACAGATAAGATGAAGGGAACCAACCGAACCTGCAGTGACACACACACATACACAACAGACAGCTCCACCACAGCACAGGACTGAACAAACAGCAGCGTATACCTGTACTCCTCCCTCCCTCACCCCCCCCCCCTCTCTCTCTCTCCACTCGGTGCCTCCCCCAAGCGGGTAATCGTGGCCAAAGCACATGGCTTTCATACTGGGCTCGGGAGCCAGGGCTGGCTAGGCCCGAGCTTGCACCCGGGGGAAGAGAGGGAGAATAGGGGAGCAAATACATAACATAACACCAGACCCCCCCCCCCCTCCCATAGGAAGTGACAAGGAACGAGCGGGGTCCCAGAGCCAGGGGGTGGGGGGGGGCATGTGAAGTGAAGCCAAGCATGCCTAAGGCATGCTTGGCTTCACTTCACGTGCCCCCCCACCCCCCTGGCTCTGGGACCTCCCTCCTCCACTCACTCCCTCACTCACTCACTCCCCCCCACACTCACTCACCGTCCGCCGGCTGCTGGAAGTTGACGTAGGCGTACCCGAGCGAGCGGCGGGTGATCATGTCCCGGCACACGCGGATGGACAGGATGGGGCCGGCCGGCGAGAACTTCTCGTACAGCATGGCCTCGGTCACGTCCGGGTGCAGGTCGCCGACGTAGAGGGAGGCCATGGGGTAGCTGGGGGCGCTGGGGTTCATGCCTCCTCAGGGAGGGTGTGAGAGAGAGAGAGAGAGAGAGAGAGGGAGGGACTGGAGCTCGAGGGAGGGAGGAGAGGAGGCAGTGGGAGAGACTGGAGCTTGAGGGAGGGAAGGAGGCAGTGGGAAAGAGAGGGAGAGACTGGAGCTTGAGGGAGGGAGGGAAGGAGGCAGTGGGAAGACAGAGGGAGAGGCTTGTGTGTGTGGGGGGGGGGGGGGAGGATGGAGGCCGTTGCTTGCTTGGCTTGTTGGCTTGGTTTTGGCTGCGGTACAGGTGGTGTGGCGGCTGCGGTTTAGTTGGGGGTCTTTATTTCTTTCTTTCGAGGATGGGGGGGGGGGCTTTTATTTTTCTCCCCAAAGGGTGTGCGTTGGGGGCTGGTTGGGGGGTGGGGGGGGGGGTCTGGTTTCTTCCTGGTCCGGTGTTCGGTGAGGAGGGCGAGAGGAAAAAAAAAAAAGGGGGTGTGTGTTTCGGAGACGTCTCTTTTCTGTTTTTTTTTAAAAAAATTATTAGAAATCCAATCAAATTTCAAATTAAAAAGCGAAACGCGCGCGCGCACAGAGAGAGAGAGGGAGAGGGGGAGAGGGAGAGGGGGTTAAAAAATCTAAATAAAATCGAGGAAAGAGGGGATTAAAATGAACTTTTTCTTTTCGGGGGAAAAAAAAAACCCCCAAAAAAGAATCAATCGGGGGATCAGAAAACGGTAATTGTGATAATATTAATAATAAAAGCGGCGGCGGGAAGTTTACAGAGAGGACCGAAAAACAGGGCGACCAGAGAGAGAGAGAGAGAGAGAGAGGGGCGGGGAAAGGGGAGAGCGGCGGCGGCGGGTTCACGGGAGGCCGGAGATGGCGCCTGGCGGGCGGGCGGGCGGTGACGAGGCCGCGGCGGGTTGGCTCCGGGCTCGGGAGGCGGAGGGCCTGGGGCCTGGTGCTGTCGAGCGGCTCGGGGAGGGCCTGGGCTCGGCTCGGCTCGGGGCTGGAAGGTCTCGGGCTGCCGATGGCCGATCGGTGGTCTGCCTTGAAGTTCTGCTCCTGTAATGGCTGCTCACTCACTCGCTCGCTCGGGAGCCGGTTGATCGTTCGCCGCCGCCGTCCGTTGAGAGAGAGAGAGAGAGAGAGAGAGCGCTCCTCTTCGGTGCGACACGTTCACTTTAAAACGAAAAAAAATTCTCGTGGGTGGTTTTTTTTTTCTCTTATCGTCGTTTGGGTGGGTTTTTTTTTCTTCTTCTTCTTCTGCTTAAAAAAATTCTTTTTTTTTTTCTTCTTCTTAAATCGCGGTGACGGTGACAACTGTTTTCTTTTCTTTTCCCCCGGGTTCAGTCAGAGACACAGACACACGGAGAGAGAGGGAGAGAGAGAGAGAGAGGAAAAGGGAAGCCCCCAAAAAAAAATGATTTTCTTTTTTTCTTTTTGAAGAGACGTCGATGGTATTTTTTTTCCCCCCCCCCTCGAGGCTTTCAGGAAGATATTTTTTTTTTTAGTATTTTTTTATTTTTTTGGGGTGGGGGGTGACGGTGGTTTTCTCCCCCTCTTCTTTTTTACTATTTTTTTTTAAATTTATATTTTTAATTAAACAGAAAAGTGTGGCCGACGCGGAGAGCTCGGGGGCACACACACACGCACGGACACGCAGCCGGGGGAATCGGAGGGTCAAACGGCTCGGGCGGCCGTTATTTATAGGCGCGAGGGTGCGCGGCGTCACTTCCGGCGACGGGCTAAACCCCGCCCTCCCTCCGCACGCGCTCCCCCCCCCGCCGCTTCCGCCCCGGCTCGTGGCGCATGCGCCCGCCGGCCGCCTGCTGCCACCGCGCGCGGCTCTCCCCGGCGGCGCATGCGCCCTCCTCCTGCTCCGGCCCCGGCTCGGCTTCGCTGCGCACGCGCACTTTCTCCTTCCCGCCCAAGTCCGTCTCGCTCGGCTGTGCGCGCAACACACGAACGAACGTGCGTCAGAAACGTGCGGCTTCACTCACTCCGCCGCTTGGAAAATAGTCCCTCTTCTTTTTTTGTGTGGGGGGGTTTGATGATGTGGGGGGTGTGGGGGAGGGGGGAGGGGTGGGAGGGAGACCAAAGGCACCGTCGGAGAGAAGGGTCTTGAGACCGGCCTTGAAGGAGGTGAGGGAGGAAGCGAAGGGACCGTGGGATGGAGGTCCAGAGTGTGGGGGCAGAGAGGCCACCGATGGTGGGGGGGTCGGGCGGGAGACATGGAGCAGCCGGAGCCCGATGAGCGGAGGGAGCGGGCGGGTTGGTAGGGAGACAGGGGGTCAGAGGGAGGAGGGGGCAAAGCCATGGATGGCCTTGAAAGTGAGGACGAGGATCTTGAACTCGATCCTCTGGGGGATGGGGAGCCGGTGGAGTCGGGCGAGGGTTGGGGTGATGGGGTCGGGCGAGGGTGGGGGTGATGGGGTTGGGCGAGGGTGGGAGTGATGGGGTCGGGCGAGGGTGGGAGTGATGGGGTCGGGCGAGGGTGGGGTATGGGGTTGGGCGAGGGTGGGGGTGATGGGGTCGGGCGAGGGTGGGAGTGATGGGGTCGGGCGAGGGTGGGGGTGATGGGGTCGGGCGAGGGTGGGAGTGATGGGGTCGGGCGAGGTGATGAGGTCGGATGATGGTGGCGGTGATGGGGTCGGGTGAGGGTGGGTGTGATGGGGTCGGGCGAGGGTGGGAGTGATGGGGTCGGGCGAGGGTGGGAGTGATGGGGTCGGGCGAGGGTGGGAGTGATGGGGTCGGGCGAGGGTGGGAGTGATGGGGTCGGGCGAGGGTGATGGGTCGGGCGGGGGTGATGGGGTCGGGCGAGGGTGGGGGTGATGGGGTTGGGCGAGGGTGGGAGTGATGGAGTCGGGCGAGGGTGGGAGTGATGGGGTCGGGTGAGGGTGGGAGTGATGGGGTCGGGCGAGGGTGGGGGTGATGGGGTCGGGCGAGGGTGGGGTGGTGGGGTCGGGCGAGGGTGGAGTGATGGGGTCGGGCGAGGGTGGGAGTGATGGGGTCAGGCGAGGGTGGGAGTGATGGGGTCGGGTGAGGGTGGGGTGATGGGTCGGGCGAGGGTGGGAGTGATGGGGTTGGGCGAGGGTGGGAGTGATGGGGTCGGGCGAGGGTGGGAGTGATGGGGTCGGGCGAGGGTGGGAGTGATGGGGTCGGGCGAGGGTGGGGGTGATGGGGTCGGCGAGGGTGGGAGTGATGGGGTCGGGCGAGGGTGGGGGTGATGGGGTCGGGCGAGGGTGGGGGTGATGGGGTCGGGCGAGGGTGGGGGTAATGGGGTCGGGCGAGGGTGGGAGTGATGGGGTCGGGCGAGGGTGGGAGTGATGGGGTCGGGCGAGGGTGGGAGTGATGGGGTCGGGCGAGGGTGGGGGTGATGGGGTCGGGCGAGGGTGGGGGTGATGGGGTCGGGCGAGGGTGGGAGTGATGGGGTCGGGCGAGGGTGGGAGTGATGGGGTCACGGAGTCTGGTGCGTGAGAGTACATGAGCTGCAGAGTTGTGGATGATCTGCAGGTTGTGAAGGGAAGAGGTGGGAAGGCCGATGAGGGAGTTCCCGTAATCGAGCCTTGAGGTGACGAATGTGTGGGTGAGGGTTTGGGGGCCTGAGGGGTGAGGCAGTGGCGGAGTCTGGCAATGGTGCGGAGGTGGTGGTAGGCAGTGCCGGTCATGACACGGATGTGGGGGAGAAAGGACAGTTCAGGGTCAAACAAGACCCCCAGGTTCCTGACCGGGTTAGTGAGGGTGAGTGTGCAGCCGTGGAGGCTGGTGCTGCCAGCGTCTGAGGGGCGGAGGCCCTGGCCCGAGCCAATCAGGAGGGCCTCGGTTTTACTGACTTTCAGTTGGAGAAAGTTGTCCCTCGTCCAGGACTTGATGTCGGACAGGCAGTCGGTCAGGACACCAGTAGTCCTGGAGTTCAGGGTGGAGGCAGAGAGTTGGGTGTCATCCGCATAGTGTGGAAATTTACCCCATGTCTGTGGATGATGTCACCAAGTGGGAGTATGTGGAGGGTGAAGAGGAGGGGACTGAGGACAGAGTCCTGAGGAACACCGCACAAGACAGTGGAGGAGAAGCCGTTTGCTGCAACGAAGTGGAGGCGGTGTGAAAGGTAGGACCTGAACCAGTCAAGGACAGAACCTTGAAGGTTGAGGTGGGAGGAGAGACGGTGGAGGAGGATTGAGTGGTCCACAGTATCAAAGGCGGTGGAGAGATCGAGGAGGACGAGGAGGCAGAGGGAGCCCTGGTCGCACATGGTCAAAATGTCATTTGTGACCTTGACCAGAGCAGTTTCCGTGCTGTGGGCAGCACAGAAACCCCGACTGGAAGGGCATGTGAAGGGAGTGGGGGGAGAGGAAAGAGCAAAGCTGGGAGACAACAGCTCTCTCAAGTACCTCAAACAGAAAAGTGAGGTGGGAGATGGGCCGATAGCTGGATAGCTGTGTGGTTCAGGGGAAGATTTCTTCAAGGTGGGTGTGATAGTGGCTGTTTTGAGGAGACTAGGAACAGTGTACAACCTCTCCCTCCACATCCACTCAGCCACCCACGTTCCTGGGCATCCACTCGACCTCACAATCATAGGATCATAGAGTCGTACAGCACAAAATCACCGATAAAGCCATCTCAGATCACCATTTAATCTCCCTTAACTGCCCAACTCTCTCCCCACCGCCACCCAACCCACCTCCATCTGCTACCGCCCCGGAAAATAATCTCTCCTCACTCCCTCTCCGCTGCCCTGAAATCGTTTGAACTCCTCCCCCTCTGGCCTACCTCCCGCAATGATATATCCTTCTCGCTCACTCTCCTCCACAATTCCCACTCCACCACTCTGGATGCCCTTGCCCCTCTCACCTCCCGAACCATCTCCTACTCACAAACCTCACCCTGGTACACCTCTGCTCACTCAAGGGTCAGGTGTGTGCCACTGAACCCACCTGGCTCAAGTCTGATCTAACGGTCCACCAGCAGATCTGGCTGGACCACATAAACACTACTGCACCGCCCTCGACTCCGCTAAATCGTCTGTCTATTTCAAGGTAATCCTGAAGGCCAAGGACAACCCCAGGCTTCTCCTCTCCACTACCAACCGGCTCCTCCGTCTACCCTCTCACGCCTCGCCCATTCTTTCCTCCAACTCTAACTGCGAGGAGATGCTGGATTTCCTTGAGACCAAAATTGAGGGGATCCGTTCAGCTGCCTCCCTCCTCCCATCTGCCGCCCCCTCCCCATCTCTCCTTCACACTCCAGCCAATACCCATCCCTCCCTCCACACCTTCGAACCTGTCTCCCCCTCCTCTCGCACCACCACTATAACCCGCATGAAGCACAACACCTGCTCCCTTGACCCCATCCTTTGTGGAGTCCTGTAG